TCTGGAGTGGGGGGGGGGGGGGGGGGGACAATGGTAAATACAAAACGCAACTGAATAACTGTGCATTGTTAGAGAAATTGTCAAATTTAAAATATTTTAGCACACATTCAATATTTTAGCACACATTCATCCATCACTTGGTATAGAAGCAGCCAGTTAAGGCAGATACCAAAATGGACGAGTTGCGTGACATCCTCTTACATGTTCAAGTCATGTCTGACAGATCGTATTTACGAGTTGAACGCACATGAACGCCACCACAAAGTCATTATTAGGAGTGGGAAACTCAATTTTCTTTAAGCCCCGAGTTTCCGAGTTGGGGGCGTGTCAATGAGAAACATGGCGGAATCGACGGATGCAACGTCTGTACTTGACGGTAATTTTTTGTTTAAATTGATAGTTTAGTTGTCCTATAAACTTAAATTGGTCATGTTCTTGTTACGCAGCTAGTTAATGAAATCCAAGTAAAGACATAAATCACAATACTTATAGGTATTAAGCAGTGACATTGTCAGGCTTTTTATTTACAAAAAATAAGCTATTTGAATGTGGCAGGATAGTAATATAACGGCGTTTGGTCTCGTACTGTCTCGTGTACCTTGTGAGTGTCGTGCGCTTTGCTTGGCCATTTGTTGGGATAAACAGGAAAGTGTGTCCAGCTGAATTAAATTTGAGTTTTGTTAAACGAATTAAAAAGAAGCTTAGTTTACCGCGGAAGCGGTCGTGAGAAGACCGAAGAGTGTAAAGGCCATCGACTCTACCGTGCGACTCCACCGGGCAGGACACCGGCAAAGGACAGAAGTATCGCTTTTTATCTCCTCTTTCCACTTCTGTTTCAGTTTTTTATAATCTAGTTCTTACTAACTATGTGTGTCGGTAAGTTGTTGTTATTTTAGCATGTGTGTTTGCCTCAGTTATTTTTTTAGGATTACTGATGAACTAATGTGCTTTGATTTGTATTAGTTATCTATTTTAGTTTTAGTTACAGTTGTAGTAATGTCATTTTATTAGTTTTTTTATTATGTCTATATAGGCTTTTTATTAAGTTTTACTTTTATTTATTTTGAGTTATTTCAGTACTTCAACATACAAAATGGAAATGAAATAATATATATTTAATGTGTATATATATATGTATATGTGTGTGAGGCTGTACATACACACATGTAGTTGTTTTTTGGTGTTTGGTTTAGTGTCATGTTAGAATCATTATTTGCTCTTCATTTTCTATAAGCAGAGTTAACAGACCCTGTTGTAGGCCTACTTTCTTGTAATTTATTAAAATTAGGTACGCCACCATCTTGTACCGACTAAACTGACCTGAACGCACCTGACGTCGTAAAGTATGAACGTCACAGGAGGACTTGAACGCAACATTATTCTCGAAACTGTGACCAAATCCACGCAAGATTAAAATATGTCCAACAGTTCATTAATTATGGCTTCATTGCAACAAGGTGCGAATAGCAAGACCATGAGGATTCAATCGTCGCATCATGCACCTGCAGCGCTTCTGTGAAAGGAGAAAACTAGATATTAAATCTATAAAAGCAATAAAATAAATAGGATAACACAAAATATATAATAGGCTATTATATAATTAACAGATTAACAAAAGGAAGAAAAAAACTGCAACTACTTATTTTTCATTCTTGTTCTGTTCTGAATACCATTAAATGTAAAATATTTGTTGTAGAGTGAGGGGAACTAAATAGGCTGTTTATATTTACCAGTATTTTAACATACATATAAATTAATGTAGCCTAATAGTTTGCAATTACAAGGTTAACGGAGTTTTTGGAGTGAGATCAATTTCACTTTCATGAGATTACTTCCTCTTTTTGGCCGGGTTTCGTTTCTCCGTGTCGTAAACTCTAGGGGCAAGACTTCTAAACCAGGGTGTTTTTAGGGGCGTGATATTCAAATGACAATTGTTTTCTGCCGCCACATTTATCAACGTGCGATCATTCCTACGATGAGATTGGCGGCACAAGAATGTGTCATGAATCACACAGTTGATTTGTGCACACGGATCTGGGCTCGTTTCTACGTTAGATTGATAAATGAGGCCCACTGTGTTTTGTGCTGTGAATTATTAACCATTGAATACCATTCAAATTAAATTATTCAAATAAAAAATTCAATTTTAAATGTATGTATTTGCAAAATGTATTTTTTTTATGTAACAATAATTTTGCATAATAGTAGGCCTAAACAATTCATGATACTATTAATAAATTCAGTTGTTGAATATTATTTAGGTTTATTTTCAGTCTAATTGGGCCAGCACTTGATGTCCAGTGTAAAATCTTGATCCTGAAGCCAGGTGAAAACCACTGTAATAACACATACTTTTCACTTTCATCTTAAGCCTAGAAAACTGTGCCTGAATCACATAATGACAAAATGACAGAGAATGTACTGTATAAATGAGAAAAATGTTCTGAAAACAAAGTCCCGCAGGTCCAACAACAACAACAACAAAAATCCCCATTCTAAATTTCAAACAGTTTCATAGTAATGTTTAAATAATAGATGCTCTCTCAGATCCAATGAATTGTGAATTGCACATGTAATTTTAGAGAATTGTATGTCAAAAACGGTATTATATGACAAAAACTATCCACAACAAGTATTTCTACAAATTCTTTAACTTATTGTGACTGAAACAATGTGTCGCGACTTTGAAGAAAGCGACAGGAATTGCATGATTTTAACTAAAATATATATGCTGGTCAGTGTCAATTAAAGCTTTAAACATATGAATGTGAATCTCCTGCAATTTCACACACAAAAAAGTGATCATTTTTTGAAGTTTAGTTCAAATTTTGGTTCAAATTTACTGCTGATAATACAAAAAGCCTGACAAATTGTAACTCTATCACTTCGTAGTGAGTGAAGTGCTTGGTTCGCAGAACAAAACAAAAAAAAAACCTTTCAGAACAGGTCAGTGATGGTCTTACTTTGTTGTTCTGCATGCAGAATAATATACTTTAGCGAGATTACTTCCTCTTTTTGGCCGGGTTTCGTTTCTCCGTGTCGTAAACTCTAGGGGCAAGACTTCTAAACCAGGGTGTTTTTAGGGGCGTGATATTCAAATGACAATTGTTTTCTGCCGCCACATTTATCAATGTGCGATCATTCCTACGATGAGATTGGCGGCACAAGAATGTGTCATGAATCACACAGTTGATTTGTGCGAATTAACAGATTAACAAAAGGAAGAAAAAAACTGCAACTACTTATTTTTCATTCTTGTTCTGTTCTGAATACCATTAAATGTAAAATATTTGTTGTAGAGTGAGGGGAACTAAATAGGCTGTTTATATTTACCAGTATTTTAATATACATATAAATTAATGTAGCCTAATAGTTTGCAATTACAAGGTTAACGGAGTTTTTGGAGTGAGATCAATTTCACTTTCATGAGATTACTTCCTCTTTTTGGCCGGGTTTCGTTTCTCCGTGTCGTAAACTCTAGGGGCAAGACTTCTAAACCAGGGTGTTTTTAGGGGCGTGATATTCAAATGACAATTGTTTTCTGCCGCCACATTTATCAACGTGCGATCATTCCTACGATGAGATTGGCGGCACAAGAATGTGTCATGAATCACACAGTTGATTTGTGCACACGGATCTGGGCTCGTTTCTACGTTAGATTGATAAATGAGGCCCACTGTGTTTTGTGCTGTGAATTATTAACCATTGAATACCATTCAAATTAAATTATTCAAATAAAAAATTCAATTTTAAATGTATGTATTTGCAAAATGTATTTTTTTTATGTAACAATAATTTTGCATAATAGTAGGCCTAAACAATTCATGATACTATTAATAAATTCAGTTGTTGAATATTATTTAGGTTTATTTTCAGTCTAATTGGGCCAGCACTTGATGTCCAGTGTAAAATCTTGATCCTGAAGCCAGGTGAAAACCACTGTAATAACACATACTTTTCACTTTCATCTTAAGCCTAGAAAACTGTGCCTGAATCACATAATGACAAAATGACAGAGAATGTACTGTATAAATGAGAAAAATGTTCTGAAAACAAAGTCCCGCAGGTCCAACAACAACAACAACAAAAATCCCCATTCTAAATTTCAAACAGTTTCATAGTAATGTTTAAATAATAGATGCTCTCTCAGATCCAATGAATTGTGAATTGCACATGTAATTTTAGAGAATTGTATGTCAAAAACGGTATTATATGACAAAAACTATCCACAACAAGTATTTCTACAAATTCTTTAACTTATTGTGACTGAAACAATGTGTCGCGACTTTGAAGAAAGCGACAGGAATTGCATGATTTTAACTAAAATATATATGCTGGTCAGTGTCAATTAAAGCTTTAAACATATGAATGTGAATCTCCTGCAATTTCACACACAAAAAAGTGATCATTTTTTGAAGTTTAGTTCAAATTTTGGTTCAAATTTACTGCTGATAATACAAAAAGCCTGACAAATTGTAACTCTATCACTTCGTAGTGAGTGAAGTGCTTGGTTCGCAGAACAAAACAAAAAAAAAACCTTTCAGAACAGGTCAGTGATGGTCTTACTTTGTTGTTCTGCATGCAGAATAATATAGACAAGAGCTTTAAAAGTTAATATTATGATAAATACTACGCATGTCCAGTTCTGTAAACAGCTCTCTGCACAAACACTGTCTTTTGCAGCTGTAGCACTTCCTTATTTGGAGGCGCTAATGACTGCTTTGATGAAATCAGGACTAATTTTGGGGTGAGGAGGAAAAGGCGGAGTTTGGGCTGTGTAGAAAAACATCGGTTATGTGTTTTCTGTCCCTCTCTATTCAGAGGTTGTGCTCTATCTGCCATATTCTCTGGAACTGATGAGTAATGATCTGAGCTACAGTTCCCAAAAGCATTAGATGTATAGCTATAACTAGATATATTATTTATTATATAACTACAGATATAACTTTCCAAAAGTTGCTAAATTTACCTATATAGACACCTAATTACCTATATATGCATCATAAGTATAGGATCAACCGTACATTCATCAGGGTCTTTAATTCACAATATTCCAAAAGAAACCCACCTGGACAGCCTACAGACATAGATTCATAGATGATTTTGCAGGTCTTGAGTAGCAGGTCGATCTTCTTCTGAGGTGAATATTCTTGGTGCAGGTTCCCCAGCTTTGTTTGAATTTTCTCCATAACGGCCGTTTCAGGAACACTGGTGATGACCCCCAGGTCTGTGGTGGTCGTCCCCTGAACCACTTGTTGGTTTTCTTTTAGTTTCTTCAAATTTCCTGCACGGGAGTGGATATCCCTCAGTCCGTTATACACAGACTCTCGTAAGGGTTTCAGGACACTTTTGCATAAGGCTGCTTCAACAATCATCTCTGAAAAGGGGGAAAACAGTTATCAGATACACCATAAGCAACTGAAAAAAATTTGTATGTGTAATTAATGCATAAACATAAGAGAAATTCCATACAGTCTCCAAGACATACACACATATATATAT